AAATAATAATAATTACAAAAAGATAATTATACATAAGAAATAATGCAATAATAATAAAGAATAAAGAGTTTGTTGGATCAAGTTGGACGCGTTTATGTCAATTAACAGCTGTTGATTGAAACACAGACAAAAAGCAGCAGCAGAATGTATTACGCAAATCTATAATTTCATCTCCAATTGTTCTTCGTCCATTTCCTAACAAAATTTTGTAGCGGCGTAGTTTGAAATTTGACGAAAGATATATAATTTTTTTAAATTATGTTAAAAATGTGTGAAATTAAGTAAACGTTCATAATAAATCACATAGCTTGCTTACGGTGGCTGCACCTATGGACGTGACTGTAGTGGTTTCGTTAGAAAAAAACATCGTATATATAAGTAAAATGATACACGAAATGATTAAATAACATGTTTTGGACATTCTTAACACAATAAGTTGTTATAGCCTGATGATTTTAGATGTTTGGAATGAGGCAGTATTCACATGTTTGAAAATCTTACAAGTGTTATTACTGGACACCCTTTATGAAGTTTTTAACTCCGCGAATAAATCACATAACTCGCCTACGGTGGCTCCACCTACAAACGTGACTGTAGTGGCGTAGCTTAATGGTTGTCAAGGTTTCGTTAGAAAAAAATACCATATATATAAGTAAAATGATACACAAATAATTAAATAACATCTTTTGGACACTCTTATAACACAACAAGTTGTTATAGCCTGGTGATTTTAGATGTTTGGAATGAGGTAGTGTTCACATGTTTGAAAATTTCACAAGTCTTATTATTGGACATCCTTTATGAAATTTTTAACTCCGCCAATAAATCACATAACTCGCCTACGGTGGCTCCACCTACAAACGTGACTGTAGAGGCGTAGCTTAATGGTTGTCAAGGTTTCATTAGAAAAAAAATATCGTAATAATACACCAAATGATTAAATAACATAATTTGAACACACTTATAATATAGCCTAATAATTTTAAATGTTTAAAATGAAATAGTGTTCACGTGTTTGAAAATCTCACACGTACTATTACTAAACACCCTTATAAAAATTTTAACTCCGCCCAATAAATATATGGAATACAGGCACATTAAATATATTAACTTTTAATCTAGCATCAAAGAATATTGATCCAAATTCATGACCCCATTAGTCAATCAGTCCAATCTCAATTCAAAAAAATAAGAAAAAAAAAACCCTAATAAAATAGTACATGAATATGTCAATAAATATATAGTATTCATTATTGCTTTTACCTAACAATCAATAAAAGTCAGCAACTTTTGTTGTAGCATGGCTCCTACTTGAACTCAAATTGGTCCCCCAACACAAATAACAATAATAAATTTTTCATTCTTAATTAAAAATTTTACTGAATCAATTAGTAAACATGACATTATCTGTATGACGGATTATTTAACCCTTCAATATAATTTTTTTTTAAAATTTAGTGAAACAAATATCGAATATTGAAATAAAGGAAAAAAGGTCTTTCCAAAAACATTTCTTTCTCTATAGCACATGAGCTTTCTAATCAGTGTCCACAAATCTATTAATATTATTTAATTAGATTCTTTATAAGACAATTACATACAGCTTGCTACAACTAAGCACAATGTTTTTTTTCATCTCTATTTTTTTCACTCCATAAATAGCCCAATTTTGCCCCACACATTCTCATTATTACAAATAATAAAATAAAAAATGGAATTTTTCCTTCATGATAGAAAATTTATATTATCAGCATTCTTGATTTTATGCATGATTATTGTTGTTTCATGTCGAGGTCCAGTGTACAAACCTCCAGAAATCGAAAAATTAACTGATCATTTTAGTCGATTATCGGTTAATCAGAGTTATAATGTGTTTTATGGAGGTTCTAATATTCATATTACAAATAATGGGTCAAGTGCTGAAATTATTTTAGATAAATCTTCAGGTACACTACAACAATTTCATACATGTTTTTTTTTTGGCTTAGTTTATAACTTAGAGTATTAATAACATTTTTTATTTCGTCACTCCACAGGTTCTGGACTAATCTCTAAAGAGAAATATTACTATGGTTTCTTTAATGCTGCACTAAAATTGCCTGCTCATTTTACATCAGGAGTTGTTGTTGCCTTTTATGTAAGTTTCTATTTTATCCTTAATAATAATCGTGGTGTCTGGATTAATTCATATGTATACGAAGAATATTTTGTGTAACTCTGTCTATCAAGGCGTGGACATATTGGGAAACCTTTTTTTTTTTTTTGCCTTTGATGAACTGTTTTGAACATAAGATATCCTGGTTTTCAACTTACTTCATGCATGCCTGGTAATTAGTACTTCGTATGTCCGTATTCAAAGTACGACTTTTGAAATTTGTGATGTAAGAACAAAGTTTTTGTGGCTATAATTATCTCGTTAAGTATAATTTTTTTTTTCAATTTTCAGATGTCAAACTCAGATGTGTTTCCACACAACCATGATGAAATAGACTTTGAATTGCTTGGACATGAGAAGAGAAGGGATTGGGTTTTACAGACAAATCTTTATGGAAATGGAAGTGTTCACACTGGAAGAGAAGAAAAATTCTACCTATGGTTTGATCCAACTTTGGATTTTCATGATTATACCATCCTTTGGAATAATCATCACATAGTGTAAGTCCGTTTGTTTCAATTTATTTGTCTGATTTTCAAGACAAAGTAATGATATCATAATTCGCTTAAGTTTGAACTGATTATTGGCCTGCTTATTTATTAACCGAGTCCATTTCGAAGGATTGACATCTCTCCAACTAAGCTACACCCCATTATGTTTGGAAACTATGTATACTTTTATCTACTTGGTTTCAAAAGTTGACAATTTTATTGTAAATTTCAACAGATTTCTCGTGGACAATGTACCAGTAAGAGAAGTGGTTCACAACACAGCAATCTCTTCAGTTTACCCATCAAAGCCAATGTCAACTATATTGACAATATGGGATGGATCAGAATGGGCAACACATGGAGGAAAATACCCTGTAAACTATAATTATGCACCTTTTATAACAACAATCAAAGGTATTGAATTAGAAGGTTGTGTAAAACAACAACAAAATACATGTTCTAAGAGAAGTAGTACTTCAAGTTTGGACCCTGTTGATGGAGAAGGATTTATGAAGTTATCATCACAACAGATGAAAGGATTGGATTGGGCTAGGAGAAAACATATGTTTTACTCATACTGTCAAGATACTAAGAGATACAAAGTTCTACCACCAGAATGCACTTCTGAATAGACGGAATATGACAGTCTGGTGGACACAGTATCTCGCATTAGCAAGAACGACTCTTCCCTTATGGAGGAACATCTGTTTGACTAAATTCATTCTATGATGTAAAAACTTATTGGTCTGAGTTCCTAACATGTTCAAGAATCTTACTTGGAGGTATTCAAATGAAATAATTTCTTTTTCTCTTTATATTTTCGAGTTTGCTAATCAAATTGATAAAGTCTAAAGATGCTAAATTGTGCAATAATTGAACTTGATTGCATTCTCCAAATATTATGTACTATATAATGGGCATATATAAATAAACATTTAAGTTTCAGTACATTTGTTTCCACCAAATTCTCTTTATTTAATATGTAGTAAAGGAAATCATAAAGAGGATCTGTTTATGTCATTCTCTAGCCTCTTGAGGCTGAAATAATCTCAAAATTATTTCATCACACTAATTGAACTAAAATACTGGAATTATTGACCCATAAAATAAGTGAGATAAAATATTCTCATCGAATATCATTGCTAATCCCATCACACATACCAAACAAATATTTTTTTTGTAATGGGAAATATCAAAGGCTGGTATAACATCATCCCTATTTGTTATGATGCCTACTTCAACCATAGTGCTTTTGGCAATGAAAATATGATGCATTGCAGCAACACAGATCTGAGTCTTCACCATCTTAGATGGGACTGCAAACACAACTCATATGGTTTAATAGACCCTCACGCAACGGTATTCAGAGTTGGGGAAGTAATAGATGTTATGGCACCCCGCGGACTTGAAGGCCTTTCATTACTACTATTGTGATGTGAACATCCAATCACATAAATGGATTCACTTGACAAGGAAATCTTATTGAATTGAGTTAGGCGTAGAAGGTTCAAGCAAGGGATGTGGATTGAATCCGAGTTCAGGAAAAAGAGGTGGCCTTCTTCACTTCAAAAGAAGCAACAAATAGAATTCCATTTCAAATGCGAAAGACATAAAAATGCAGATAAATTTGAGACTGCTAAGATAAAACAGAACAAACTTCCTGAGTATAGTAGGAAATTAGAACCACCTAATAGCCAAACAACTAATAATGTTGCTCATGCAAGTGAGGTCATGGCAATGAGCCAACTATTCTCCAGAACCAAAGATGGTGTGGAGACATGGCCTTGACCACCTAGTTAAGGCATGCCAGCGAAAGGTTGGAACAAATGATTTGTTATCTAATAGGTGCAACCATCCTATATTTGTCTGTGTATAATGTTTATACATTGGTACATATATCAAACTCCGCCAGGAGCAGGGAAAGAGTATTTTAGTTCTGACCTTTTCTACTATGTCTGTGTTTCGAATCAAAAAAATGCACTGCTTCTATGTCAAAGAAGCATTTTTATAAACAAGTCATACAATGAACAAGGAACCTTTTCATCACCTGAAGAACCGAAGCACCACAAACATGTATATGACAAATGTAGAGCAAGAGCAGACAAGTAATGTACAAGAACACAAGAAACGACATCCTGTCCCCTCGTAAGTTAGGTTTCTCTATGAATCATATATACTGTTCAACTCTATTCAGGTGTCACACCACTACTAGAAACCATTTTTTCAAGGCAAATAAGGCTATTCCATCTCGAACTAATATGTACAAGGATGGCAACTTAGGGGAGCTAAAGAGAATAAAAAAATGTATTCTTTTTCGAAAATCATGTTAAGGTTATTCAGCAGAAATCAACAGGTTCAAGCAACAACACTGTATAGCATAAGTTTATATTATGCATTGGAAAAACATATTTCAATGCATACATAACATAAAATCATTCCACCGTAAAACAACTACATTACGGTTCATCAAAATCCAAAGCTTACTCAGATAGCTTTAATGGTGAATAGATAATAATAATAATCCCTAAAATCGAAACCATACTCAAAATTGCAGAGCACCAATAGCAATAGAACATATACCGTAAATTTAACGGTAAGATTTCTGGAACCTAGAACGAGCACCACGACCACCAAACTTCTTAGGCTCACAACGTCTAGGATCAGCAACAAGCAAAGTCCTATCGTATCGAATCAGAATATCCTTAATCTCCTTCTTCGTCTGCTCATCAACGTACTTCTGGTAGAAAGCAACAAGAGCCTTTGCAATTGACTGACGGATAGCGTAGATCTGAGAAGTATGACCTCCTCCTTTGACTCGGATTCTCATGTCAACTCCGGCGAATCGTTGACGACCTAGAAGGAGGATTGGCTCGAAAGCTTTGTACCGGAGAATCTCCGGCTGAACAAGCTCGATAGGAACTCCGTTGATTTTGATCAAACCACGACCACGCTTGCAGTGTGTCACCGCCACCGCCGTCTTCTTCCGCCCGAAACATTGCACGGACTCCACTGTCGCCGGTGCCGCCTGCATTTCTCCTGCTTTGATTATTTTGCTTAGTCTGATGGCCAAACTCGAAAATTTCTTTGAGGTTTTAGCTATGGAGGGAAAAAATAGCTTATGTATTATGAGAATTAGGGTTCCTTATTTGGGCTCATGGAGTAAATAGGCCCAATGGTTGATGTACTCATTAAAGCTTTTGGGCTCATGGAGTAAATAGGCCCAATGGTTGATGTACTCATTAAAGCTTTTGGGCCCTTGTGGTTAGGACTTAGGGGCAACTCGTTAAATTTGAATTAAGACGGAATAACCGAGAGACTCTTATACTTGTTTGTTAGTTAAACCCTTATACTCGTTATTTTGCGAAATAAATTGTTAAACATGATAAAAATTTATTTTTAAACTCCTTTGAGCATTGATCGAGCTTATGTAACATTAACATAGTTGAGTTGGACAAACACGTAATCACACGCATTTTGAAGCAAGTAAATACAATTTTTATATTTAAAATCTAAAAATTATAAGATAAAACAATAATAATAAATTAAAAATAAAAATATAAATTTTAAAATGTTGTTTTTTTGGTGTTGTTAGGAAGTTGGGGTAAAAAATAAAAAAGAATTATCGATTCACGTGATATTACATAGTTTGAATTATAAAGTCAAATTAGAATCCACTTGAAATTAAATTTTTAAATAAAATATTACGTAAAAATATTAGAAGTGATAAAAATCCTGAAATTACTTTTTTTTTCTAGTGGTTCTAGGGAAAATATACACAAGTGTATTTTAAATGCTTTGGTCAGTTCTCGAAGCGAATTATTAACTGTTAATTTTAATTTTGAATCTGATTTCATTTCAGAGAAAATTTCAAAAGAAAAAAATGTTTTTGGCGTCACTTCACACCTTTCAACTATTCGATTCTCTTAGGATATACAATAACAACTAACACTTTTATCTCGAAAAGACTTGTTACTAAGTTGTATTCTGTGGAGAGCAGGATTTCAACATTGCAAAAGACGTTGACTAATTTGGACAAAAGAATGGAGGATCTATGCAAAGTCGGCGTATGACAGTTCGAACCTTATTTTTGTTTGGTGGGCTACTTCTTTTTTACTCAGACGATACTAACTTGCAGTTGACACTTTTGACTTCTCTTTTCAACTTGATTCGTATTAAAAATTGATAAAAACATTTTCTAACAGGCAAGATTGAATATTTCTCACTTAAATATTTACGAGTATTTAGTTAGTGAGGCTATATCTTTTGAAATAACCACAAGAAGCTAAAGAATATCTTTGAGTAAAACATGTAACAACTAGTGCATTTAAACCCCAAAACATAATTTAGTGTATAATTTGACCAATTTTAAATAGTTGTAAGGTTTCTTTTTCTTTTCTCCAAAAGGCACACAACACAATATATAATGTTTGCTTAATCTCACGTTGACTTAGCTATAAACACACCTACACAATAATAAAAAACAATATACAATACACACACACAAAATATGATCTTTGTTAGAGTTTAGGTTGACTAGTTTAAACTCACAAAAATGCACATAATTCACAACAAGATCTTTGTTTCAAACTCATCCTGACTAGTTTAAAACACACACAAATACACATAACACCATAGACACACAAGAAATTACTATCAAAATTATGTAGGAGAATTGGTTTCTTAGGCCTATAAAAAGCCCCTTTTCCTTGTTGATTAGAGACACACAATTCACATAACAAACAAAGCAACAACAACAACAAGAGAGCAAGAAGAAAGATGGCAGATAAGGAAGGCAAAGGAAAGGGAAAAGCAGAGAAAATAGAAGAAAACAAAAATGGTGTATTTCCATTCACTCCCAAAAAAGGAAGTGTAATTCCTAAAGAGAGAAAACATGTTTCCACAATGATGGGTGAGAAAATTGTTTCCCTTGTCAAGAATAGCAAAAACAAAATCAACCATCATGATACTTAACGATACGAAAAAAAATAATATTTTCCGTCATACCAAATCCACGAGTAACACTAATCTTTCTAAACATCACACATGTAATATGTCTCATTTTTTTTTTGTACTATCGTTTGTTATACTAAGGTTGTATAGGAGGTCCCTTGTAATATCATAATGTTTCAAGTATTTTGTTTGCATATGCTTTTGTGAATTTTTAATTTCACCATTTTGTTTTCACTTGTGCAATAAAGTTAATTTTTTAATCTCAATTCGTACGATAGAGTTAATTAGTTGAACATAAATATTGAAACGTAAAAAGAAAATGTTAAAATGACGATTGAAAAAATAGTTAGACAAAAAGAACAACAATAACAATAATAATTACAAGATCTCACAAGTGACGTATATAAGCAGACTTTAATTATTATTATTATTATTATCTCATGGATAATAGATGGAAATTATATAATTATTTTTTTAATTGCGTAATTGATAAATTTATATTGCGAAAGTTACTAAAATTAGTAATATTGATTATTGACAAGATTCCACACTCATACAACGCGTAAGTGTGGTCATGTACACCCCCACACAATAGATTGACAAAATTAGTTACATTATATTTTCTTATATTAATAAATAATTAGGTTAGAACTTAATTATAAAAAATAAGATATGTAAGCATTAAGTTTTTTTATAAAAAAAAAAATACACCCTCATTCCTATCATTCTCTTACTAAAAATAGATAATCATAAATACTATATTTGTTATTTCACAAAATCAATAAATAAATGACACTATTTTTCTTATTTTACCGTTGAGAGTTATTAGCCCTGAAATTAAATTAATCAAAATAAACTAATTTATGTTCATTTATTAAAACTTGATTTCAAGAAAATACTAAATAAGGGTGCAATGGTAAACTTACATAGTTTTTAAAGCGACGTGAAATCTAAAATTGTGACATATAAATAGAAACAGAGGGATTAATAATTAAACTTGAGGGGAGATTTATGTAATTGTTTCTTTAGTTTTTTTGTTTTTTTTTAATTAGCTATCAATCACTTTGTTGATAAAAAAAAATTACTAATTTGAGTGATTTTATTGATATAAAACAAATATAAGTGACTTCCACGTAGACCATTTGGGGTGACACTTCCGACAAAATTTTCTTTATACCTAAGCCTCGAAGCCAGTTCTCTATGAATTGCTCATTTAATAACTCATATAATTAGTTCTTAGTTATTTTGGTCCTTTTTCATTTTCCCAAAAGGCATACAACACAATATATAATGTTTGCTTGAGCTCGCGTTGACTAGCTATCACAATACACATACACACTACTATCAACAACAATAGAAAAACCACACAACACAAAATATGATCTTTTGTGGACTATTTTAAACTAACAAAAATGCACATAAACCACAATATAATCTTTGCTTCAACTCATGCTGACTAAAGTTAAACCACACACAAATGCATATAATTCACAAGATGATCTTTGCTTCAACTCATGCTGACTAGTTTGAAACACACACAAACTACACAACACACAAACACAAATACACAAACACATAGACACACAAGAACTAGTATGAGAATTGGATTCTTAGGCCTATAAGAAGCCTTCTTTACCCTGTTGGTTAGAGACGCACAATTCACATAGCAAACAAAGCAAGAAAAACAAGAAGAGAGCAAAAGAAAGATGGCAGATAAGGAAAGCAAAGGGAAGGGAAAAGCAGAGAAAATCGGAGAAAGCAAAAATGGCGTATTTCCATTCACTCCAAAGAAAGGAAGTGTAATTCCTAAAGAGAAAAAACATGTTTCCACCATGATGGGTGAGAAAATTGGTCACTCTATTGTTTCTTTTGTCAAGAATAGCAAAAACAAGATCAAACCATCATGACTGATACGAACCAAGAAAATATTTTCCGTAATACCAAACTCACCAATATCATCCTTGTAATATATTTTTATTCTATTACCTTTTGTTCTACTAAGGTGTCCCCTGTATACCACAAATCACAAGGTTCAGTATTGTATTTGTATATGCTTTTGTGTTATTGAATTCTACATTATACTTCAGATCAACGAGTGAATATAAGAGGAGAAATGTGAATGTAATAAAACTAGTTGCCAATTGACATCAAATGCAGTTTGTATATAAAAGAAGTTTTGAAAGAAAATCAACATTTATCGTTATCAACATCATGAACTAGAGCAACTTGATATCACTATAATTTAGTTTTATTTGTAAAAATTGCTTTAAGAGGATTATGTTTATAACCATGCTGGATTCTTCAATGGTGTCACAACTGCCTTTACTTGCAAGTAATTTTTGAGACCGTATTCTCCCTTTTCTCTTCCCTGACCACTCATCTTATAGCCACCAAAAGGAATTGTAGCATCAAACGTATCAAAGCAATTAATCCATACCGTCCCAACTCTCAAGGCTCGTGCCAACGTGTTTGCAGTGTCGATGTTCTGTGAAAATACTCCAGCAGCTAGACCATACCGAGAACTATTAGCTCTCCGTACCACTTCATCAAGATCCCTGTAATGAACAAATACATACCATAAATAGAAGTCGATAATACAGCTCCATGTACTGTTAACATATATATTTGATCGTTCTCACATACTTAAATTTTAAGATGGACTGTACTGGACCAAAAATCTCATCCTGTGCAATCAGCATATCATCCTGACAATTGTACAATTTGTTAGTTATGACAATTTATGGACGTTGATACTAAAAAGCACGCCTATTAAAGTGAAAATGTATATACCTTAACATTAGAGAAGACGGTGGGCCTAATATAGTATCCCTTTTTACCAAATTGCTCACCGCCAGTTTCAAGAGTAGCTCCACTATCAACACCAGATCTAATGTACTTCATGATCTTATCGAACTGTTTTGAATCAATCTGTGTGACAGGAAACTCTCAGGTTCGGTATTGTTACCTTATGAGAAGACTTAAAAGGAAGGAGATATGCTATTTTTTTTCATTATACAGGTTTAATACATTGGTTTCCAGCATTTCAGATAAGAAGAGTATTCGTTAGGAGATTATGAATACCTGAGGACCCTGCTCAGTGCCTGATTTAAACGGATCACCAACTACTCGTTTCAAGGCGCGTGCCTTTGCCTTCT